CAATAGGCAGACACAACAATAATCGCAATAATATATACCAATAGGCAGACACAACAACCCAGAATCCTTTGACATGGACGACCTTTTTGGACGGGTGGACACCCGCAGAGCCGCGGAGCGCCCTCCAGGCCTGGCATCCGAACCTCCACGGACGCCACGAGCCGCGTGGCGAGCCGCGTGGTGAGCCGCGTGGACGCTGAAGAATCAGGCAGCGCCGCAGGGTGCTGTGTCAATGGACCCCCAAGCGTGCACCATTGGTGCATTTTAGTTGACGCCCTCTAATTCAAAGAAACACCTTTTAACAGGATAGTTGGAGACGCAAGATATCGCAAGATCTATGCAAAGCAACATCTGTTTTTTTCCATCCAAGCAGCATGACTACGTCGAATGATGGGTGGCCGGTTGCGCAACGGATGGCAACGGAACCACTGTTCTATCAGAGCGGGTGACATGGACATGAGTGGCTCCGGTTCTTTTTTCAGGGCTTTGTCCATCCTCAGGGCTCAGGGCGTGTTCCTGGACCGTTTCTCGTATCGTTTGGTTTGTTTTGCACGTGCCAAACAATGAATGCGTGTTTTCGCCGGTCTTCTGCACGGCCCTCTCAACAAGCCGTGTTTTCAAGAAAGCATCTATTGGATTCCTTGGATTCCATCGGGACCGGTGTTTGATTGCACCCGGCCCCTGCAAAAACCGGATAGATATGGGCCAGTGCCTCACCGGGCCTCAGGCTAGATGTCGAACGACGGGAAGCACGGGATGAAGCAATTTCTGGAGACGTGAAGAGGAGGCAGCTGTTACAGGTGACGAATCGTCATGTTGAAGACCTGCTATATTCATTCCTGACAAATCAGGGACAAAGAGTTCGCAGCGGTGTCGGTCAGTGCTGCTAGTGAAACATCAATTTGACATTACGTAATTTGAGAATATTTGAGATTGGTAGTGAGCCATGAAGGCAAACAGTATTTACTGTACGTCTTGTCTATGCAGACATCAGGAGCCGTCAGAGATGTGCGAGATCATGCTGCAGCAAAGAGCCTCCATGTGAGCCCATGGTTTGAAAGAGAAAACTAGTTGATTGAAGCTCAATGATTCAAACTATGTTCACATATATGTTTATTAAAGCATCAAGAACACAGCAAGCTAGAGGGGTTCATATGTCTCAACATTAAGCATCACAAAACACTGAAGCAAATCTTGAAAAGCATGCGCGCACGCAGATCCGTGTCGATGGATTGCATGGACCCGATGGATCATGAATCGAGGTTCCGGTCAGTTCTGAAGCAGTTGGAAGCTGCGCATGAAGACCAGATGGAATACCATGTTTCGAGGTTCCAATCATTGCTGAAACAGCTGAAAGCTGAGCAAGCTGAGCATTCAGAAGAGGTCCAGAAGCGTGCCAATTTGACGTGCAAGCTACCACGCCAAGTAGCAACACGGGCAGAAATGTGTCCTGCGTCCGGACCTCAGTTGAATCACCGCCCACAGGTGGGTTTGTTGTCGGTGGGGTTCTACGGACAACCAGCCTATACAGGCAGCAGACCAGAGTGGAGAAGGCATCGTTTTTGTTTGGGTGAAGGCGAAGGGAGCTCCATTGCATTGCAAAGTAGAAAGAGAAGAGACCGTTGTTGAGGCACCCTCACCAAAGATAATCCCAACCTCCTGTGGTCGTGGTTTCCATGCTTTTCAACCACACAAGTAGTGCCAGGAAACAGATTTCCGTGTGGTGGTTCGTGCCACCGGACCAAGGTCACAACCACTCAAGACAGTTGGCCGAGAGGAAGAGCTATTATCAGTACCACCACCAGCTGAAAGCAGTGTGGATGAGCATCAATATGTGCGGACAAGCAACATTATTGAGATCTCTGTACCTGTTCCGGAAACTTCAGTTGGTGCTTCGAGCTTCAGTTGGTGCTTCGAGCTGGGATGGCTCTTGGTCACTGTCTCCAATTTTATTTTTGTAGCAGTGCGCATGCAGGATGACTTCCTTTTTACAAAGGATCAAGAATCTGAAAAAACGCTTGATGGACATCGTTTTGTGCCGGTATATCCTTTGTTGCATCACTTGTGGGTGGTCATCGCAGGAATATATGCAGTTTTATGGACTTGGCAAGTATTCCTTCGCTTCAGACGCCAGGCATGGTCAGTTCTGAAATCTTGGGTTGGCTGGCTGGATGTTTTACTGGCATTTAGTGCCTGGCTAGAGCTGCTGCTTGACGTCCTGCCTATAATCCTGCAAGATCGAAAACTGCGGTTTGTACGAGTCTTGTACCCACTGTGCATCCTGAAATTCGTTCGCCCGGCGAGTGTATTGGTGACATCGAAGCGGGTGGAGCATCTCGCTTCGCTCCAGATGTTGCTCAAGGGTCTTGCGGCAGGGTTTCGTACACTTTGTTGGGCATGGCTCGTGCTTCGCTTTGCGACCGTCAGTGGAGCTCTCCTATTGCTCGGCCTTATCACGTCGGAAATGGATCAGTTTGGCGAAATGGTCTCAGAGAGATTGTTTGGCGATGGGCTTTGGGCCCTCTTGGAGATCATGTGGGGCGCCATGGACGGGGTGGACGTGGACACTGAGTATCTTCTGAATGGTGTATTTGGTGCTCCCGTATCCATTTTTTTGGCGGCCTACAAATATTTCCTGGGCTTTGCATTCCTGGAAATCATCGCCGCTGTGCTGGTGAGAATTGCTATGGAGCTATACGCAAAGGAAGAGGCAGACGCTGAGGCAGAAAAGGCCAAAACTCAAGATGCTTACCGAGAGTCTCTCATTGAGCTCTTTGAGGACATAAACTCTTCTGGCACTGGCCGAATCAGCTTTGCTGAGTTGAGTGAGCTCGTTCAGAGACCCGAACTTCAGAACAGACTAGAACAACTTGAAATCAATACACGCGATATCTCGTGTTTGTTCTGGATGCTAGATGATGGAGATTCTGAAATTTCACTTGAAGAGTTTGAAGATGGCATTTGGCGCTTGAAGGGGCCTGCACGAAACTTCGACCTTGCAAAGTTGGAGAGAGAGGTGCTCAAGCTGAGCCACAAATTTGATGTCATTTGCGCCTCTACAGGAATCGCTGTCCCAAGGTTGAGCTGTAGGATGTCCAAGCAATCCCTCAAGACTGTATCACGTTTCAATTCACAACAGTCTGATGAATTCTGTCAGGTTAGTATCTAGGCTGTCTCACTATGGCTCTTTGGTTTCATCTCAGACTTGCAAATGTATGGCGTATGGCTTCATAGTGTCATGGTTATAACATGACCTTCAACCAAACACATGCAGAAGCACAGGTGCAAAATGCGTCGACAAACGAATCGACAAAAAGGCGGACAGAGTTGCTTGCCTGGGGACATGGATTTGCTTGCCTGTAGGCTCACTCCAATGGCCCTCAGAACCTTGAGCAAGCAGTTTCATGCGTGATGCGTCATGTATTTGGCGCCTCAGGGGATGGTCTCAGGGCCTCAGGGTTTGAGCGGTTCATGGCACGACTTAACGCCATATGCCCCACCGATCCCCAGCGATCCGCAGTGCGTCAGGGCTGACCTCCGCGCGAGCAGATGCTGAGAGGAGGTGGGTGAGGCTGAAAAAGGGCCGGACCTGTCACAGCGCAGGGGGTGTGACAATGGCCACTTCTGTATTGACAGACACAGCTGTGACACAGCCCTTAGCAGAAGCGGTTCTAAGGCAGCCGGTCATTGATTTATATATACATATATATATATACCTGGAGCCTCTGAGGGCTACCAAAACACAGCCAGACCATGTTCTCAGGAAAGTACGGCCCTTGAAAATAAGTACGGCCCTTTCAAAAAAGTACATCCCTTCTACATTCTCTATGTTGTGATGGACTCAGCATTTTCATGCATATTCTATGTTGTGATGAAACCTCGCCCATGCCGACGCTCCTTTCTTTCTCATTTGGCATGTGGTCGTTTCTTGCGATAGTGTGGACACGTCCACATCAGAGACTTGGACATGATGTGATCCCCACACAAACTGTTTGGTTGTTTGCACACACTTTTTCACAGCAAAACTACTTGCACATCACCAAGCCTTGCTGACAACCCCCTTGAGACGCATCTACATCAACCCTCTTGGGTCATTATCTGATGCCTGCACTGCTTGAAACGTGGAAATGAGGACACGGGAAATTACACGAGCATGAATCTGCTGCGCTGAAACCCGCCGCGCCAAACGCGACGGCTTGCCCACATAATCCTCTTGCATCTGATTCGATGTGGCCAATGGGTTGACCAAAAAAGCAGCTCCACTCTCTGCAGCCCGAATTAAATCCAAAGCGCAGTGGTGTAAATAGTGAATTTTGGGAACCAGCGCCCATCGTCGGGTCCCCTCCTCTAAGCTCAACTTTGCACATCGGCCATAGGCCTGCACAAACACTAGGAGCCACTCACCAGCCCGCTTCCCTTGCCAATTCCTGATCCAATACCCTTGGGAATACATCCAGCTGAGGGCCACATTCAGTGCCTTGGTTCCTCGAACCTTAGCAGAAAAACTCAGCACTCAAACAGGCAAGCTGGTAGTATTGGAACCGTGCAACATGCCAACATCAATGCCTCACACAAACAAAAAAAACAATGAGATACACCAGTCGAATGACCATAGTTTGTATGATGGGGTCCTCACAATCTGCAGCATGCTGGACCAAGAAGAACTCCAAGAACAACATGAAATTGGTGGTCATGGACCCTTTCGACCATTGGCCTACTGGAGAGGCAGTTGACGATGGGAATGCCAAAGTGGCTCTGGAGATCTCGGTCATGTGTGGCGAGATGTGTCGCTGGCGGCAAAAGTCCTTGAACTGTGATGTCATGAGTTCAAACCTGGCATCAACAGAACCATGTGTCTCCGGCCAAAATTCCAACCGTTCCACACAAGCTGCAAAGGAACAAGCCAGCCACTGCTTCCCCACCCCGAGGTGCACATTGTGAAAGATATCTAGGCTGAAGAAATGTGCTTTGCGATCTCTGTTCAGCGGGGCCCCTTCCATGATGGGTGGCATTGTGGCACCCCACGGGATCTCACTTTCAATGGTTTCCTCCCACACTGGGTTCAAGGACAAGTCTTCGAATGGGAAGGCTCTTTCCCCAGGCCGCCCAGCTTCTCTCCCTGCCAAGCACCACGGGCAGATGCCCTTGCAGGCCTTCTTTGACGACTGTGCACGGGGAACATGCCAAAATGTCCTCGTGAATGATCCAAGTCGATTGAGCGCTGGGAGGTCACCTTTGGTGGAGATATGGGCCATGCGAATTGTTTTGCCATCTTGACTGGTCAGTCCATCGAAAAGCAAACAAGAGCAATCTGCCGCAAAGATTTGCATGAGGGCATCCACCGCCCCAGGGCAATCTTCTAACACACTCCGTTTCATGGTGCAGAAAAGGTACTGGGTGCATTGCGTGTTTCCCAAGAAGTTCAACCCTAAGGGGCACCGATCCAGTGGTAGCTTGTGCTTCCCTTTCCGCACATATTCTGCCGTGCCACGGCCCACACACCCATGAGAAGAAAACACCCATACAGCCTCATGCTTTGGCCCACGACCTTCATCTTGGTGGGTGTAGAATGGTATGCACGTGTTGAGCTCATCGGGTGAAAGGGCATCAAAGATGTCATGGCCTGGGAAGGCTTCCCGGAACCGGCTCCAGAAAACAGCTAAGACCTCCTGCATGCGCTCAAACGAGCTGGCTCCGCAAAACAGCCTCCAGATTCGTTGAGTGTCTAAGAGCCACTGCGCCCACTTGCTCAGACGGATGAAGGGAAATTTGGCCAGCTTGCCCTCTCCCAGGCAAGCAAACTCAATTTCAACTGGAGCAACGTAGCCATATTTTTTGAACACCTGATGACATCCCTTCTCTGCATCATTGAGGCTCACTGCAGCAAACTCCCGCAAGACATGACTGCTATTCCCTTCCTGCACCTGCGCTTTGGCAAAGTCGACCACATGGTTGCAAGGAACCTCAGTAGGCACATCCTGTGCAAGAGGAACAAAAGCCTGTTTGATAAACTCTCCAGCAGGCTGCTTGGACAAGGTCACTTGCATAAGTTCAGTGGGAAAACCAAACTTAAAGTTGCACAATTTCATTTCACCACAAGCTGCAATGCAGGAAAGCCTGCAGTTATGTGAATTTGAAGTCAACTAAGTTGGCCTAGCCAATTGCTCGTGGCTGATCTGCTCTTGCACCAGTCACGTAAACAAAAAAAGGAGGCAAAACCCCCGCACGATTTAGTGCACCTTCACCACCAGAGTTGCGCTTGTTTCTGCAACCAACGTGGCTACCAAATTCGGAGATGAGCGCCGCCTCTAACATGTGTGTTAGATCTATGGAATTTGACATGTTGAGAACCCACATCGACTGGTAGCCCTTCTCCACATAGGACACATAGCGTTGCACAGGGTTCGTAGTGACACCAATTTTGAACACGCACAGGCGAATACCAATTTTTTCCCTGAGGTTCGTAACCTGTTGTTTGGCGTGTTCAAGGATTCTTCCACAAGTCATGCTTGGCTTGGCCGGATCCAAGCATTTGTTCACTAATGAATGGGGACGCACCAGGTCCCAATCAAAGTTCGAAGCTTGAAAGCTCAGTCCACACTCACGAAGGAAGTTGACATCAGGGGTCGAAGATATCTCCTTGGGTTTCCAGCTAAGATATAGGCGTTCAGCATAGCCTAAACTATCACATTCTTGCCACATGGACGGTTTTTGGGGCCATGGCGCTTTGAGCTTGGAATCATTGCTTTGGGAGGCCTGGTCTCGGAAGAAGTAGTCATGGTAGAAGTCCTCTTCCTGGGTTAACCTCATTGTTTCAATTCACCATGTGTCAAACCTCGACCTACTCTCAACAGACACACTCACATTAGTTTCAGGCTAGCAACTTGGGAGTTTTGTTCGATTCTTGATCATCCCCAGCTGGAGCACCAGCAACTCGTTTCCGTCCAGTCACAGCGCAGGTGTATGTCAGCAAGTCTAAAAGGAAATCGGAGTCATCCATGGCTTGATATGGTAGGTGGTCAAAGCACGGTGTACAAGGTGGCTATTGGGCACATGTCTAAAGTGTGAAGCTACCATGTTAATAGGTGAGCTATGTGGCGTACGCTTACTGCTTGCAAGTGTGTTCCCATATAAAGATCGCCGGGCAAGGTGGAAGAAAGGCATCCAAAGCATTGCAAGCTAAACATAAACTGTAGAACTACCGAGCTAGACCCAGATGCTTTCTTCTTCAACCTTCGTTGGCAGCTGACTTCAGCATGGGCAGGCAACCTGAGGAGCAGACACCACGGGAAATCATGGTGGCGCACTTCTCCAGGCAATTGCTATGGGCAAGATCTGATGTGCCTGGCATTCATGCACATTGTATGCACTCAGACCCTTTCATTGAAAGCTTCCTTCACAGTGTTTGAAGCACATGTTTTGACATCCGCGTGTCAGTGAAATCATGGAGTTGGTCAGACTCACATGCAGTGCATGTGTTCACCCCCAGATGCTTGTTACATCTTCCCTGCCCTTCCAGGGCAAAACATCAGCCACCCTCAAACGATGAAACATCAAAAATATCGAACACATTAGGTTGCAATTATAAGTGTAAAGTGCATGTCATTACAGCAGTATGGGTGGCAATAGGTGTAATCCGGAAACCAGAAATCACTGATTGGCGGCAGCCGATTTGAACTTCTTGAGCAGGTTCCTTGGGCCAAAGTAGAATCTAAAATGCTTTTGATACACAAGTTTGTTGGAAGAGCTCCCAGCTAATGATTTTTGCTGAAAAGGTTCTTCCCGCTAGTCTCAGCAGTGGTCACCCTGGAGCACCTTATTTCCACAACTTTGTGGCAGGCAATGTGAAAGCTTCTTTCTCACGTTGCTGATGAGGCACGCCACTGTCGTTTTTTTTTTTTTTTATCTGGGCATCGATGTGTTGGACAAACCTCAACAAAGGACACCACCCCCTTTGGAAAGATGTCGAATCAATTTATTCAACTTCCATGAAGGCGACTAAAACTTAGCAAGCAACTTTTTGGTCTCAGCTGAAACCCCATCCATAGACTTGATGTTTTTGATGGAGTCGACCTCAACCTTCAAGGATTCGATCTGCTCGTATTGATCGTTCAACGTCTCCACAGCCTTCTCAAGCTCACCAACTGACCTGGGAATGGGCCGGAAATGAGATCAACCCCAAACAGGGGAATGTTGGGGCCCAAACTTTCTCGCACGTGCCGCAAGTGGGGTCTCCAAAGAGCCACTCTCGCTCTCCAGCTCCCCAATTAGGTCACTGATTTTGGAGGAGCGAGTCAAGAGAGACTCACCCAGCTTCTTCAAATTGACGTACTCCTGCCGATATGCACCACTCTGATGAATGAGTAGTTTCAATCAAGGCTTTCCAATACACGAAAAGACATGTCTTTTCATGACAGTGATTTGATGTATTCCCAATACAAACTCCTGCGCTGGACCAAAAGCCTCCAGCTGTGTACCTTTGCCTTTACCCTCCCCCTCAGAGTCACTGGCATCCGACAGATCTTCCGGGACATTTGCAAGACGGCTCGATTTGATGGAGCGCTCAAAGCCCTTGAGGTGCTTGCCCTGGGCATGGTGATTTGGGGCAGGAGGTGGCCAACCAAGTGCAAGCATGCAGTTTGGTTTCAACAGTATAGGGCCCCCACATCCATTTCCTCTTCTTCACGCTCGCGTTCCTCTTCGATATCCAAGTCTTCATCATCCTCACCAACCTCGACATAGTACTTCTTGATCTTCTTGTTGTATTTGTCTTTCCTGAGGAAAGGATCATTGGTTGAGTGGACCTATGAAGCAAAAGAGGTTGAGTCTTTTATGCACTCCCTTTCACCCAAGAGTAGGGTAAACCAAGAAGCTTCACCAGTTTTTCATTGCCCTTCCGCTCACAATACTTCACCACAGACGCAATGTAGGACCTCAAGTTGAACCATACGTTTGAACCCAATGACACCCATGTTTCCATCAGCATTGAGCTTAAAGAGGGATACACATTGTGTTTTTGTTTAGCTTGACTTACGCCTCAAAGAGTTTCTGCAGCCTGAAGACTTGCTCCATTGCAAAATGGTGCGCATGGTCTCTACCGTGTACCACCCCCGCCGTTTCTTCGCTGACTTCCTAGCAATCTTCTCCTTGCTCCGGATGACCTTCTTCACGAAAATGTCCTGGACTCCCATGGGCATGGGCAACAGCTTATTTGCCTTTGGACATACATAAACCATCATAGACCCAAGTGTGCACAACAAAAGGTCATGAGGAGTCCTTATCCCAATTTGCTTCTTCCAGAAGCTCTTGAAGTTCCAACCTGGAATGCCCACCTTGCATGTACATTTGATGCACCTCCTCAGGCACATTCAGCTTACCTGACCCCTTTCGTTCACAAAGTCTTCTGAGACGGTTTTTTTTGGCTGCCTCAGAAACCTCTGGGGATTCCGACTCACCACCCGATTCCTCAGCATCAGGTTCTTCCAGAGGTTCCTCGACATCTGGCTTCGATGAGGCTGAGGCTCTGGGGGGCTTCCCTTTGGCAGCTTTGGAACAACTCTTGCCCTTGGTAGGGGGGGTGGTCTTCCCACCTTTCGGTTCATTGGGGGTCTTACCCTTTTCTTGAGCAAGGGCAGCTTCCATGGCGTCCAACTTCGCACGCAAGTCGGCATTGTCCTGGCAAACCCAACCAGGTTCTAAGAAAATCATGTTTGCATAAACAAACGAAGATATCAGAGTATTGACTTTTTCATATCAACCCAAAGTAGCCAGCCTTCTGCAAGGCACTCACACACCGGGTTTGGTCTGGATCAGGGGTTTTGAAGGCAAGGCGGCGAGGTGGAGGACCAGTGCATTGCTTGGGGTGCTTTTTGGGCGGGGATCTCACAGGTGTGTCACCAGTATCAGCCATGGACTTGTTCTGCTCTGAAGGGCCTGAACGGCCTGAACGGTTCTTCTTACGATTTACGATCTTCACTGGTGGTGTTGCAATCTCCTCCTCAGTGGGTTCTGGTGGAGCCAGTGGAGGTTCCTGGGTTTTCTTGGCTCGTGGTTTTGCTTTTGCAGCTGTGCGTTTGGGGCGGGCATTGGCTTGCAGCTCTTCTTCAGTTGCCTGGAATGGGACCAAGAGAGGTTGAATTGAGAAGCTAATGTGACAATCATCAACCCCACAAGTACTATTTATGCATACTAATGCAGGATAGTGGCAGGTTGGGTTTCAGAGTCAGCTGCCTCAGAGCGAATTTTGAAAAATAATAAAGCTTGCCAAGAGCAACATGTTCCACCCAAAGGGGCCTGAGCACCAGAAGAGGCACTGGTTTTACCAGCACCAAGATTCTGCAGCCGGCGAAGTTCGACTTCATATTCCTCAGGGCACTCCCTATGGTAGTCATCTACTCTTTCATTTGTAAGACCAAACTATATTGTGAAAGAAACACACACACAACCCATCCTTGATGCGTTGCTGTAGTCCCTCCTCCCTTTCAGCCTCTTTCTTCACCTCTAGCAACCTGCGATTACCCTCTTGAAGCTCCGAACAACTGTGGCTCTTTGAAGGCATTTGCCTTTTCAAGCCATCCGACTTCGAACGAACCATGACACGTCCGAAAGGCTACCTCAATGACCTGAAGCAAGATCGAGCAGAATGCCCTGCGGGAAGGACAGTCATGGGCCGGTTTGGCATGATGGGGCTCACTCTAGAACCTAAACTGGTCCATTCAATCTTGGTTGACACCTGGCACCATCAAAAATGACCATAACTCATAAGAAAATGACAATGCCAGAAAAGCTTGAAAATACGTATTTTGTACGCGTTTTAGTACGGCAAAATACGTCCCTTGTACGGGAAAGTACATCCCTTGTACGGGGTACACTTTGGGGCGCGTACATAATACGTATTCTGTACGTACTTTGCACGTATTTTGGGATACGGGCAAAATGCAACATAAATGGCTAAGCTACCTTCTCTCAGTACAGTTCTACCCAACATCCATGAATAGTCGTATCAAATAGTATGACCTCCAGAGTATACAAACAACAACCATGTATGCAGAGTAGCTGAACAGAGTCTCAACACCACAATCCTTTCTCCTCCATGCCGAACATGATCCAAGAATGTAATTGGAATGAATTGTTGCCGTTAATTGAATCTTTAATTGGGAGGTCCTGTGGCTAAGGCCTACAAGCTTTCAGGAAATAGGCCCCGCCAGTGCCCCAAGTGCAAGTGGTAAGAGCCACGAGCATAGCAAAGGATGGATACCATTTTGGCATCCTCCCAAAGATCATCCCAAACGAGGGCTCCAAAAAATGATTCAAGACTCTGGTTCACAGTGTCTTCAGGGATACTGAATTCCACAACCCGTTCCTTTAGGAACCGCGGATAGAGTCTTCGCAGGCACTTTCCAAAGCGTGGCGGGTATGTCCTTGGCCAATCGAATGGATGGGCAGCTGTGTTTGGCCAAGGAGGGTTCAAGTGCTGGGGAAGTTTTGGGAAGTGAGCTGTCAACTTCTCTCTTGCCTTCAAAGCTCCAAACAAACCCACGGTTTGCAAACAAAACATCAGTGCCCTAAGACCCAGACCCAGTAGATTTCAAGAATTTGCTTCCAGAAAATCCACGCTTTCCCGACTTGGATGTATATGTGCTGGCAGACTTGGCTTTGGATTGAGCTAGTCTTCTCCGGACCTTTTGGCACAAAGTCCCAAAATCAAGCTCACCAATCGTAGGGCAATTGCTAAGGGCCAGGTGCCTCTTTGCAGTCAGGCCCCCGAAGTGGTGCATCCACCAATAGGCCAAGAAAACCTGCGCGGCCAGGATGTGAAAAGACCAATAGTGCAGGGATCCCAAGCCTGAACTCAAAGACCTGGAGCTACCGGTGGAGAAATGATGTTTGTTCTCTGGTTCCCTCCAGGGATGGAAAACAGGAAGTGTCCCCGAGCAGCTATTTTAAAGGTTGACTAGGGATACTAAATATGCAACAGTGTCTTTTTCATGTCCTTCCGCCTTTCCCCTAACTCCTGTTGGTGATGTGGGGAGGTTAGATTCGTGATATGGAGAAAAAGGAACGCAATACACCTGATGCCCTTTTTGATGCTGGTTTCCATGCCACCACCAAAATGGAAGCGTGAGTTTGTTGGACTGCAGAACTGCCATCTGATCAAACCATCTTTGTCAGGAGGTGGCCTGAACTAGCCTTTTGGGGTGCCAAAGAACCCTGGTCCAGGCCACCTCTCAAAAAGGTAGTTAGGGAAAGTCACCAGGCGTTGCAGTCTGTCATGGCTGCGCGTTCAAGTCCCTGCAGGCATTCCCCACAAGATTATTTTGATTCACCTTATGGCTCTACATTGACATGACAAATCCCCATTGTAGGTTGGAGTATATATACAAAGAATGCCACTTGTGGAAAAAGGTGTTGTCCAAGTTGTTAAACTCTGCGGGCCTTTGGCATTGACATCATGACTTGGCGTACTCGGGGGTGCCAGAGCACCATAGAGCTGCGAGGGTGCTCTAGAATAAACGCTCCTCCCATAGCCTGAACTAGCCAAAGCAATAAGCAAGTCCTTAGTTGAAGAAGCTTCAACTAAGCGCTAGTGACCACCAGTACTGGTTGTCTTTGGCCCTGGCATGAACCCCTGCGCCTTGATCAGGGGTGTGTGGCCAATGTCAATTCCTAAGGTCATGCCATATACTGTATTTGTAGTTGCGGTAACTTTGCAGATTAATCATACCGACTAAGACCGCCATGGTCAAACCCTGCCAGAGAGTTTTTTTGATGGGAGAAGAGAAGAAGTACTAAGAACCCCAAAACTTTGGACCTGGTTGCCCTCATAACCTCCAGAAGACAAGACCAGCACCAGCCCTTCCCAAAATATCACCCTACAATGGGGCCCTTCTAGAAGCCTTTCCATGTCCCATCCAAGGTTCTTAACCCTTTTCTCAGACAAGCTTCCTGCTGGTCAGCAGGTTGCCCGACTCAACTGACCATACTCGTTGGTCCCCAAGTGGATCAAAGGGGAATCTTCGATTCGTGGCTCTGTTGATGGCCACAAAACTGGAACAAAGTAACCCACACAAACACAAGAAGTTGTCCATCCGGCAGTTCAGCACTGTTGCCAGGGCCAGCCTAAGTTGGGGACATTCACACCAACTTCCTTCTTTGTTGTCAGGTTGGAGCAAAGCTGCAGCTTAAGACAGATAAAGGGGGACCTGAAGGATTCTACCACGGACCATTCAGATGGATAGGGTTTTGATGACACGGCTGCAACTTTGCATCCAACCCTCCAACAAAAGCACACTTGCTTTCGATATTCCAACAAACTGCAATGATCCTGTTCAGTCACTAGAGGGAACAAGGCTAGTGACAAAAAGCCAGCGTCTGACAGGAGATCGAAAGCATCTTGCTTCCCCTCGATGGGCTCCCCAAGTTGCAGATCGAGAGAAGCGGTCGGGTGCCCTGCTGTTCGCATGCACCGGGAGACCCAGCCAGCCCCAGAGAAGAGTTCCATAAATGAGTATGCCTGAGGTGTGGGGCTAGCTTCACACTACTTTGGGGGCAACATGTTTTGAAGCAGAAGCACATAGATGCACATGGCATATTGCACATGTCCTTTGTTTGCGGACATGTCACATCAGTAAACACGGCCACATTGTCAGATAGCACCAGTAAGATGATGCATGCTGATAGAACCTTGGTGGGGCACCACATGATAACAGCATGCTCAGACAAACAAACAAACATGAGAACCTGTTTGCATGAGGGCAACCTTTGGAGCTCCAAGAGTATGAAGCCGTTTCACAACAAGATCCAACCTTTGTTGGGAGTTGTGACCCAGGGCCATAGCAGATCACTAGTTCACCAAATGTCGAAGCCCTGGTAAAAGCTGCGGCTGCAAGATTCAAAACTGTTTCATGGAGTCCATGCCAGACTACTCAACACATCTTTGCAATGATGCTGGTGCATCTGCCTTCGTCTAGTTTTTCAACAGGACAGGGCTACCTTCTGTGAGGTAATCGTTCTCGAGAAGTCGCCGTTTCCACCCCTGCCCTCTGGCCGACATCGCTGAGGCAGACCTGGGAACCGGAGAGCACGGCGTGGATCCCAAACTATGGGGCGCAATAGGGAGAGGGTCCACAAATTCTAGGTGCTACTTGTGCAACCAACCATTTAGATGATTAGCCGTGGTATCAAAAACATAAACTTGTGTTTAACATGTAACCTGTAACCTGTTTAAAAGGAACCAATCAACCCTGGCGGGTCACATGAAGGCACGCATACAAGTTGCTTGCTCCTATAGGTTACATGGCACATTGGAAAAAACATTGTCCTCTTTTCCTCGTTGAGGGCCAGGAAGGCTTGCAATTGTGTCTTCAGAACTGCCTATCCTTCCATCACGAAAAAGATCATGGAAATAGGAAACCAATAATTGTCTCAAATCTTGGAAGACAGAAGGTGAGTGGGGCAAGTGGATGAAGTTCTGAATTTCGTGCGGACGAACAATTGCCCATCCTTTTTCATCACCCAAAGCGGCATGGTCCCAGACAAGCCAACTTGATCACGCAGGCTTTGTGTTTTCAAGCCGCCTAAGATCAAATCACTTGTCAACCCCAGATTGGAAACGCAGAAGTTCAATTGGACTTGGACCCAGCTTCCCACACGATCCCAAAAGATGGCCACAGGTTTGTGTGTGTGTGTATGTGTGTGTGTGTTTGCAAGTATAAGTATATGGTCGGTCTCATGTGGGTAGTGCAGCAGATGTCCCCTTCGAAATGACAAAACAATGCCTGAGCGCCATTGGCATTCTCAGCAAATGTTCCCTTCCAAATGACAAAACTATGCCTGATCGCCGTTGGCGTTCAAGCCAGCAATATAAGCAGCGGCTGCCTCATGTGCAGCGTCATCAATGTTATGTGCGTTGATGACTTGCTCAGCCCATCGCTTTGTGCAAAATGTCCAGAAAGAGTCCTGGAGAGGCAGCAGTGTGTTGCAGAGGGTCAAATCATGCATTCATCAACATTTTGAACATCTCTGATTTAAAACTTGAAAAATACTCCTGTAAAGATTATGTAAAAGTGCCACAGCCAGTGAACACTTGTCCTCATGACTGGAGACTTTCGACGACAGCGCCCGTTGGACATCTGAGATGAACACAGCACGTAGGGTGTCCCATTTCAATGCACCAGCCTCCGTCTTTGGACGCCGCCTACGCGCCCAAGTCTTGGGAAGGCCTTCGGAATCCTTCTCTGACATGCTGGGACCTGCTGCCCCCTTCTCAGTCTTGGCCTTCTTGCAAGGCTGCTCTGATGACTTCTTTTGAACCCTTGCCCGTGCCTTCGCCTTGGCAGCAGCAGGCTCTGCTGAAGGGATGTCCTCTGGCAATGACTGGGGAGGCTCAATTTCAGGCATCGCTGGTGCCTTTGTCGCCGGAGTCTTTCGCGATCGGCTTGGCTTCGCACTGGCAGCGCTCTGCCCAGGAGCTTCATCCTCCTCCTTGCTAGCCTTTGCCTTGGCTGCTTTTGGTCGGCCTTGGCCATTGGAATCCTTTGACTGCGCTTTCTTTCCCTTGCCCTTCCCCTTGGAGCCCTTGGCTCCCTTTCCTTTGCCCCTGCCCTTGCCCTTGCCCTTGCCCCGCTTCTTCTTTGTGGGCTCGCCATCCTCCTCAGTGTCCTGGTTCTTCAGGCGCAGTTGGTCACGTCTAAGGACCTTACTGGTGAAGATGTGAAGATATAAAGGAAGGCCATGGACAGAAAAACAACAAGTTTGAAGCCCAAAGAACCACAACAAATGGATACCACATGCAGGTTGGAGACTGGTTCAGCCGAAGAAAACTCAAACTCACCTGGCTCTTGGCTACGGAATTTCTCCTCGTACAGAGCCATCTCGGGCTCAGGAAGGTGAAGGGTCTCAGAAATGTCTGTGCCAAAGGGCAATGAGTCCTCCACAAGCAAGACCTCACCAGGAGGCGGAAGCTTTGCCAAGCGCGCAGATTTCCTGACATATTTGATCAAGGGCGCCTAAAAGAGAAACAAACTTGAACCATCGCAAAAAAACATATACAGCCATAAAAAACTTGTTTGATCTCAAAGAGTCATAACGGAATGCTTCCTTTGGAGATCCCCAAGGTGCTTTTTCAAGGCCTCCACTTTGTCTTGGATGGCGCACTCATCATCGGGCAAAACCTCTTCAAACAACTTCTTCTTCGTAGAGTGAAGGTCTTCCTTCTTGTCCTCTACGCTGAATTTGTCCGCATCTGCTGGACTATCCTCTTCAAACCCAACAACTTGAGAGTCTTCGAAGATGTCAAACTTCGACTTGGCCCGATTCAACATAGGTGCACTCCGGACAGCAGCTGGGTTGGCAGGAGCCAAAGCAGGAGCAGTTTGAGGTGTTTGCTCTGGCTTGTAACCATCTTCAACGCATGGCATCTCTTCATCACTCAGCACAATCTCACCTCCTGCCACCTGTGCCACAGTGACATCAGCATCATTTCTGTCCACTGATGCAGAAGGATCACCCCCAGACATAGGAGCATCGCCATCGCCCATCACTGGATGAGGGGCCACCGCCGCATCAGCATCGCCATCGCCCTTCACTTCAGTATGGCCCACCGCTGCATCAGCATCGCCATCATCCATCACTGGTTGAAGGTCCACCACTGCAGCAGCATCCCCATCACCCATCACTGGATGAAGGCCCCCCGCTGCAGCAGCATCCCTATCACCCATCACTGGATGAAGGCCCCCCGCTGCAGCAGCTGCTGCAGGAGCATCCTCAACTTCCTCCTGAAAAGTCAAGCAACTTAAACTAGAAATCATTAACAACTAAAACCACAGAGCCTTCAATCCTACCAGCCCCACCCAAAAGTATAGTCCTCAGCGTCAGACAGAGCTGATGCAATGAGAGCATTGAAGTTGGCATTGCGAGGGAATTGACGACGGTTGATCTTCTTCTTGATGAGCACACAGGACTTTTTGATGGCCCACGCATCGATCTTCATCCGTCGTTGATCAAGAGAGATGCCAACAATTTCATGGAGGTCTTTCAGCCTGTTGGTAAAGGCCAGCAACAAACACCAGAAACACATCATGTTAAAATTGTAAAGCAATGGGCAGGTGTCCAAAAAAAACACCAAAAATGTTGGACAAGAAACTCTCGATGAAGGTCAGGGATGGTCACCATACTGAGATGGCCATACCCATGTTCATCCTGCAGAAACAAGCGCTTCACAATGGGTTCCAATGTAGCACGGTTGGCACCCACACAAGCCACTGTTGCTGATGGCTGGGACTCCCCTGGCGCTGGCTGCATGATGTAAGAATTTTGGCGAAGCATATCTCGCACTTCCCTGGCGGCTTCCCACTCAAGAGCCACGCCAGCGATGCTGACAGCTGCTCCATCGGAATCCGACATGCTGGGCAAAGCAACGACAAAAGCAAGCAAACAGCGTATCAGGCTTGACTAAAAGTACGCAGGAAAGCAGCGAGCATATCAGGCTTGACTGAAAATAAAATCAAACAGAGTTGATGGCTTGCCTGAAAACAGCAAAGCTGAGTTGATGCATTGCAGTTTATCCACTGTGCTAGGCTACCTTGTGCCCACCCTACTTTAGCATCCCCTGGGATGCCAGTGCCCCCTAAGAGCTATTAGATTTGTCATTTGTCAGTGTCTGTGTGTGTGTGTTTTCTCCATTTCGTGAACCTCCAAAACCCTCTGCCCTGGCCGCTAAGTTGCCCGACCTGGTGATCACCGGCGCGAAGATCTCCACATGGTCCAAAAAAGGGCTTGCGGAGCAGCACTCGGGTAGAGAGTTGGTGAATAAACATTCATAAACACACTTACCAGTGGTTGGTTCTTCAAAAGTACGGCCCTTTATGAAAGTACGCCCTTTTCAAAAAAAACCAGGTTTTCATGAGAAGAACCTGTCTTTTTTTAAAGGTATGCAGATCGGCATCCCTTCCAGGACGCAGGTATGTATACATACTGTCCAGGGCATTGCTCCTGTTGCTGTCATGTCTGTCCTCATGAACGAGCAGCTCTTGAGATGCACGAAACAACGGCCACTGCTCCTGGAGCAATATGTCAAAGCCTTTTAAGAAGCTGGGCACAGCTAATCATTTATGCAAGTCTCTTCTCGCGACCTTATAGGCCCCTCTATGGGATAGTCTATAGGGTTCTTCAACCTTTGCTTGGAGTTTAGGCAGTTCTTTCGTGGGTTATACCCGTATTTGCCTCATCTACTGAGGTCCTCCACGGACTTCCGCATGCTACGAGTGTGCGCCGTTGGAGGAGCCAAGGTCTAGACCATCACGTGGACCCCACTTGCGCCGTTGTCCGCAGCCACACAAAGCAAAGAAGCGGCATACCAGGAATCAACCTTTTGACAAAGGATTCAATCATATTCAATATATGGGTTGAATTGCACTTGCTCCCAAATCTAAGGCACCTCGTGAAAAGGACGACTGGTAGCAGTCAACTCTATCACAGTAGGAGTTGCTGGGGGCAGGTGGTAGCGACAACTCCTATGAATCAATTGCTGTCGGTCTGGGGTCGGGAACGGGTCGTGGCAGCGATGGCAGACGCGCGGGTGCATCGCTTCAAGGCGGGGAGACGATTGAAACGAAGCACCGCGTGGGTCGTGCTGCTGTTCCTAAGCAGGAGTATTTTGGTGCAGTACGTTGTTGTTTTCATATATGTTTTCATTAATTGATGAATGGCTTTCATGCTAGTTTTTAAACATGTTGTTTGGCTTTTCTTCGTGTTTCTTAGGTACTACAGTAGAAGCTTTCTTCGCAGAAAAAAGATCTTCACCACTACGTTCTGCGCCTGGTGTCGTTCTGATTTGTTTTTGCGTGGTGTTACTATGTTGTGCTGTTTTTAGTGCGCTTCGTTGTTCGTTTGGCTTCGTTGTACTACCCGTTGTACTTCCCGTTTGACGTGGACATCTCTAGGGCCTCGGAGCTTCCAATCACAGCCCATACTAGCGCGAACAACGGACGCTCGGCTGGCCAGTTGGCAAGACATTGCCAGTTCAAAGAGATAGTGTATTCTATCTATACCGTCTACACCGTCGCACTTTTTTTTGTGAACATGGAAGTTCGCACTTTCGGAAGACGTATGTGTTTCAAACCGATTGAGCAGGGTTTCTCTTTGTATTTTGCTTGGCACCATCACTTCTAGTCTAGTGCAGACAGGCCTTGCAGGATTTGCTTTGGGCTTTGGTGGCGGCCCAAGCAGGGTCGGCTCTTGGTATTCAGTTTTGAGATGTTTTGAGTTTTGATTTTCCAGATCGGAATTTGCATGGTAAAGCCTTAGCGGCCTTGTTATAACTGTTATATAAGGGAATCAGGCTTTTACTTAGCCGTCTTCATCCACTGGCGAAGCGCTAGACCAAACTGGGACCTAGACCAAAGACCCCAAGGACGGTCGATGGGAGGTGTGCTAGGCAGGGCTCTCCCAAAGGCGAGCAAAGGTGCCAAGTGAGAACCCCCAGGGCACCCTGATGCGGGTTGATATTTGCCGATCTCGCCGGCCATGTTGTTCTGTTCTTCCAGTTGGGGGGCGGCCACATCGACTCACAGCCACATCTACTTAGCATGTCTCAGCCCAAAGGCTCCCATCAGTAGCTCCACATCCTGAGGTGCCCAAGTCCGAGCCCCTCGAGGCACGGTTGCACGGTACGCGCGCGTGCCTCTGGCGAGCGTGGGAGGGAGAGCGGACACGTTTTTGATTGTTGTCCTCACAAATGAGATGAGCTCGTGAAACACGGTGAAAAGAATCCCCCACATGATGCCCACAAGCTCACTTTTGAGGGGTCATGGCGCCACACCGAGACACATCAAGGGTCCTAGATTCGCGCGTGCGAACCTCAACACCACGGTGACCTGGGTGATGAGAGAGAAAGACCGTTAGGGGGGAGCGCGAGGTTTGGAAGCCCCAGACCCTAGGATTCGAACCCCTTTTTTCTCTTTCAGGGTGAGACAAGGTGTTCACCACCCTTGATTTACATCAGGGTTTCAGCTTTCAGACCCTAAAAAAGGGATCCACATGTTTGGAGGGTCCAGTCGTACCGTAGAGGATCCCGGAGACCTACACCGGTCCAATTCCTCGGCCACACCCAGGTCGCCGCCGGGTCTGGCGTGTCGGAAGCGGCGCTGGTGGGATTGTGGGGCTCCCCGGTGGGTCGCGTGGGTGACTTCCAGTTGGAGGGGCATTGTAAATACATGTAAATACAAACTACTAACTATACCACTGTTGGCTTGGAGTGAAGCTTGACTCTTCTAAGTTGTTCCTTTACTTGAGAAAGGGAAGCGTCTTTTTGTTGATCGTTTGAATATGTTTATATAAACAATATTTTCTCTGTTTGCATCGAAGAAAGTTGTGATCCCATGGCGCTTTGCGTGCCGTTTTTTCTCTCTCGACTGCTTTGCTTGTGCGGATTGCGGATTGCGGGCTTTCTGACTTTTCCGGCTGAAAGTTGAAGGCCTTGCTCCTTTTGCGCTGCTTGGACCAAGAGACTGTCATGATGAATTTCGGTGTGCGTTCACCTTGAGTTGGGCACCGAGAGTAGTACTCCATGTGATGCTTGGACCGAGAGTAGTACTCTCATGAGTTGCTTCAGTCCCATGGTCGCAACATGAACGAAGAAGTCCCTTTGGACATCTACACAAGCACGGGAGCTGAGTCCCAATTTCATTGGCTCACTCCGCTCGAGCCAGTTCTCCAGTCTGTACACAATACCCAGACACTACGTGTGTACCGTATTTGACTACATTGAGACGGTTGAAAAAGGTGTCAATTGTATAGTCTTATAATTATATGGAATGTTTAGGATAGAGACAGAGACTTAATTGATGCCAGGGTTTCTACTTTTTCAGTCCTCATTTGTGTGAGGCGCCACGCCTCAAAGAGTGTGACACCGGCCCGGTATTTTGTGTGTTTTTCTTGCGCAACTCCTTGATTGATTCGATCCAAAGAAGATCTGCTTTGGCTCCAACGGGTATGTAGCTCAGTATATATATTAAAATAAGCGGCCATACTTCCCAGACACTCCATTATACTCCATCTAATTTTGACAGGATTAAGTAACCTCCCCCTATTAATCAAGCCCAGCTCGAGCCCCCAATACTAAACTAATTTAAACCCTGTTACATCATCCTATTAATATTTTTTCCCTGGCAGAAACCTCCCCCTATTAATCAAGCCCAGCTCACCCCGGAAAAAAAAAACAACTTAAAACAACATACAATTAGTTTTAATATTATTTATTGTTTCTTTTGGGGCAGTCTCCAATATCTTCTGGTCCATGGTGAAACTGATCTTCTGATCCGCCCTTGTCTCATGCCTTCTCTTTGAGAGATAGCATTCTGATCCACCCTTTTCCCATGCTGATCCTCTCATCCATCAATCATTCTGATCATTCTGCTTGCTCTTCTCATCCTTCCCAGAAGCAATCTGTGCAGCCAATGTATACTCATATGGGATCTTCCTCCCCAGCCTCAGGTCATCACCTTGAGAAAGGGGGGTGCAGTCTCCAAACCTCCTTGACCTAGTTGACCTTGAAGGGGGGGTTGATTAATCCGGTGTCGACATTATATGAAATAGGGTGGTGGTCAGGGGTGCTTTTGTCGACATCATATGCCATGCTCCCTATGGGGCCACTGCCACCCTCTGAGGTACCGGTGAGGACGGAGACACTATTATCATAAGATCTTTTATGTCGTCTTGGAGGGTCCAAATACCTTCTGAGGAGCCTCTGAGGATCCTTAGGGACAGTGTTTGGCATTTATTTTGAACATTTTTTGTTGAGCATTCTGTGATCCATTGCCTCCAGGTCTGTGCTGTTGCCCGACAGCGTGATCCAGCAGGTGCGGTTCACGCTTGCGCCTTGGCGTCTTGGGTTTCTCCGATGTGTGCATGGCACGTGTTAGAGAAAGCACCAGATGTTATATATACCCGGACCTGCCCAGTGACCTTCCCATGGAGTCCCTGTTTGTGACCTCACTTACAGGCCTGTTCATGACAAACCACAAAGTCAAGTTCGGTCAGTGGAAAAGCTCTTTGGGGGCTCCACCACCAGCGGTCTTTGTCTCCCGCCTTTTCATGAACCCGGCCACACATGGGCCCGTCGGAAGGCGCGACGGTTTCTTCGGGGGGTACCACCGCTGCAGGTGATGGCTGTCGACCCAACGTTCATGCGGTTCATACCGGGACGATTGGCAGGGAAGAGGTAGGAGCATTTTTGTTGAGCAACTTCATTTTGCAATGACAATGAACATTTGTTCAACGAACCGAAATCGCAGGCCTTGCACCTGGTGGATTCCAAGGGCATTTCATGCGTCACCACGAGTGGCAGCTGGACGCGGACCATTTACGAGGCGATCGGGCACCGGCAGCGGCCGCAACGTGGCAAAACAGCCGCCCTAGGCCTAGACGAGTAGGAAAACCTTTGGCAATTGTAATACTAACTGTAATCCAACACTGCAATACTACTTGTAATATTATGTAATATCTGTAATACTGTAATTACGAGTATGAAAACATTGGTGTGAAACACACATGTGATATCTCTGGTCCAACAGTGTGCCTAAGGGCCCTAGGGCATGTGCAGTGGAAAGCCTCCTCCAAATCAGATCGGTTAAAGTGTTGGCATGTGCTGACCGGGGAACAATTCAACACTACCAACACTTCTTTTATACCATTTTTGGGAGCGTCCACATCCTGTTTTGAGGCATTTCAATGGTATTTCTTGGTATTTTCTAGGCGTTTGATTGCGTCTTCGGACCAAACAGCGAGTCGTGTGCAGGGAGTTCACTCTCGGTTCCGGCAAGCCGACACGTACCGACACCGTACGCAGTTGCGGTACCACACGTACGACGCCAGGTGCAGGGCGAGAAGACGACCTACTTGGTCTTGGGGCATGGGCTGTACTGTTCTTGCCACGGCCCCAAGACGGGAACGTCCATGTCCAATCTGCTGCCGGCGATCGATGCAAAGACGGAGAGAGAGGATCAAAGAATTCTTAGCGGCGAACGATCAACACATTTGGGTGAGAGCCGTTGGTTGATGTGAGATGTGAATAGATTTGATATCCGCATGCCGCATGTCGGTTTTGAGTTGCCTGGTGTCTCTTCTTCGCATTTACATGCATTTACTTATTGCGACCGGGCAACATTGTCAACAGCATCCATGTCGCAGCCATTGGCGAACCACGCAGCCAGCGCCAGCTGCGTCACCAAGAGGTCAACTCTGATGACTTGGTCGATGACTCCTCCGGTCCAACCATGTGACTCAACAAACACGACCCAAGATGGACCATCACCATCACCACACCCAACACGGGAGGCTCGCGCGCAGGGAGGCCGATACGGCTCCCGAGTCGCATCGGAAGGCGTGATTTGAATGGACCGGCCGGAGCAATGAAAAGCTGCATGTCGCCTCGCCAGCACCTCCATGTACCTTTTCACATAAACATACTTAAACCACCCGACCTTAGGCAGGACAGTACTTGGAGCACCTCCCTCGTTGCCTTCCATGGATGGCGCCATTGCCGTCCTCGTGCCCCTCCACTCGAGCCGGGCGTTTCCCGCGCGACCGGGGGAGAGGACACGGCGGCGATGCGCTGTCCGGGCGATGGCAGGCCGGGCGGAGCAGCACGGAGTGGTGTTTGCTTCTAAAGGGCGTCCATGTGATTGGAGGTCAGGTATACAGTCATACAGGATGTTTTTATCAGTTTTATATACTTTTATCAAATCATCTATGGCCCCATATGTAGTAAGAGTTTCACACAATTGTTGCTTTTTTTCTGTAGGATTGGCTCCCTTGGGATGATTGATCAAGTGGGTTGAACCCACCAACAAATACAATTGGTCCAGCAGTCCAAAGGTTATTTGGTGTCTTCCTGAACAAGTGTAGAATTTTGGCACCAGAGCTGGGGGTGTTGGCTCGGAGACGCATACAATCGTTCCATATATGGTCCACCATTCCCTCAGCTGAGATTCGTTTAAAGCATGTACATGCAGTTCACAAGTTCCGCTGCAGTACGATCTAGTACGATCTATAGGTTGGCCAGCTGGTCGGCCCATGTGGTTGGTCACCTGGTCGGCCCATGTGGTTGGTCACCTGGTCGGCCCCATGTTTTGCGTGCTCCTTCCTCTCGCGGACCAGGCGCCATCACCGGTCTCCATGCTCTCTCTACGCGGCAGGGCCTCCGGGGGCGGCCACGGCCCAGGCGCCGGCAGCGGGCGCCGCGGCGCGACGTGAGGCGCGACGTGCCGGAGCTGCCACCGGTGGACGAGAGCATTTGGAAGCCAATGCCAGTGAGTGAGGAGGAGTTGAAGGCAGCCATGGTGGTCGACGAGCACTCTGTGGCCTGGTGAAGGAGCAGGCAGTCGCCTGTGAAGTTGGGTCATGCAAAGGGGCCATGAAAGTTGACGATGTCTCCCAGCAAAACGAGATCCATTTCTTAGGATTTCTCGCTGCTCACCCTACTGTACTACTGGACCGGCCCCCACCCACGATCACCTGCCTAAGTTACTTGGAGCTCACCTCCCAGCCACACCCAGTCGGTGGCCTCCGTGGCCGACGCCGTGTGGGCCGGCGGCGCGGCCCTTTTCGTGCACCGCTGGGCGCAGCTGGCGGCGGTGCGGAAGGCCTTGAACGCTGCCGCCGACGCAGAGGAGGTGGGGGCAGTTCTGCCGGTGCAGCGGTTTCGGTGGACCATGGTGGACCCTGTGACCGGCGGAGTTCTTGGCAAGGCAAGGTCCGCCTTGGCCACCACAAGGATGTTGGTATTCCATCAACTCTGAATCTATACTTGAGCATCCTGCACTTCTGAGTGATACTCGTATCAACGTTCAACCCTTTAAGAATGGCTTTCAAAAAGACGAAGCTTGAGGCGGGCTTGATTCAGGGACTTGGGTCGTTTCACAAGCGCAGTCCTGAGACTCCAACGATAAACAGCTTATTTGAGCCGTATATATATATATATATATAAGTATATATATATAGGATATAATATACAGTAACTCATCGTCTAATTGCTTCTCACTCACTACTCTTCTTCAACGTTTGTTTTTGCATGATTTTGCTTGTTCAATCACCTGCCCTGGCCCACCTTTTCATGACCTGGCCCACCTGGGCCCACCGTTTTCACCGGTCTTCCCCGCGCTCTCACGACCCTGGGCCTCCCCCGGGCGCGAGGCGCGCGCCGAGCACCCCGCGGGCACCGAACCCGTGGAGCGCTTCCGCGTGCGGCGGAAGCGGCTCCGGGCCTGCGCGAGGCGACTCTACGTGCGGGTGGCGTCGAACGGAAGGTGGCTGGGACGCGATGGGGACTGGAATGGGGCTGTGTGTGGTGTAGAATGCGCATTGTTCAGGGAATGTTCATGAATGTTCATGTTTCTTTTAAAGGCAAGAGTTGGTATACCTGTAGAATTATAGGTCACATGCATTGTTGGGGGCGTGGTAAAGGCTATGAGGGTCAAAACAGATGAGAGTTTGGTGGCGGGATCACAATTTCAATTCAAAGGTTTTTAGTCAGTATATATAGGAAGTCAATGTTGCTTGAATTTGGCCTATGCATCGACCCGTCTCAAGCGTTTTCTAAGGTCCCTTAAAAAACCCTATCCTTGTCCATCTAATCCCTGTCATCCGTGGATGTTCATCCAAAAGCAGTCTCTCTGACTTCGAATACTGTCGCTTCCGTGCTCGGCCAAAAGCAGAGCTCGTAGGATCATCCCTGCAAAGGATCAAACAGATTATCAAATGGAATGAAGAAAAAAGTCCAGTCACCCAGATCATCCATGTGACTCGCAAAAAGCATGAACAAGGTCACCCCATGAAACATATCATGGGATCCCTTCATTGTAGAGACGTCATGTTTTACATGTAGAACATGGGTTGGTAAACCTCTTCCATGGTCGTGGACGTCACGTCCGGACCCGCCCCGGGGCGCCACGCTGAGGCTGGGCGTGGACGGTGGACCTCGGCAGCTTGGACCCAGGACCCACGCGCGACCCAGGTTGGGGTAGTGAAGGAACACCCCGAATCGATCACCTCTTTCGTTACAGGGGACACCCTGGTATGCCTATGGGAGCGTGAAAGGAACACTCCGGACCTTCCATGGGAGGCATAGCTACAGGGCCTACATGGGGGTGATTTCAATAGCCAGTGTAGTCATCGGTCTAATATATTCCAGTCCCATGGAGCGGCAGCGTCTGGGTGATGGCCAATTCGGAAGAATTCGGCGGAGACCTCCTTGATGTTCTTGTTTTTGAAAGGAACGCCGACAGGAACGCGAACGCAGTGAAGACATGTTGATTAAACAGGTGAAAAACCGGAGGCTGTGAAAGTGAACACAGTTGATCGTTCAGGTAACGGTATAGGTTCATCTCACTTCATCCCTCACTTGGCCATGAACGGTCGAACAGTCCTAGATCCGACCCGGCTTCGTCCACTGGTCACGCCGTGCACGCCGTCCTTATGCACAGCATGCGTCAGAAACTGTTTTTGACAACTGCTTTTTGACAACTTCTCCTGTTTCAAATCAAGCCCCTAAACTTCTCAAGCAAACAGATTGTATAAGCATATAAGTATAAGAACTAAAGAAACAACACTGTTTTGGGTAGAGCTTCCCATACCAAAGGCTGTCACCGGACAAACTGCTGGTCACTGCTAGGTATGGTGAACGACCCTTCAGAAGAAAGTGTGCCTTTCTAAAAGAAGATTGACTGAAGGGCAATTTTGCCTAGCCAGTCAGTGGTTCATCTCTTTGACACATTCTTTCTTGGATCTTTTTGGCGATTGATTTCTATATGCTTCTCTAATGAAGTGGGTGGCCAAAAGGGTGATTCTTACTTTCTTTTCTTGGGAAACTGAACGCTTCAGCTTTGGAGCGTTGTTTTCCTCCACAGGTTTTCTGGTATCGTTCCAAACAATGCAAACAATCTCCAACCTACGAAGGGTGCAGAGCCAAGACTGGAACACGGAGGAATACGAATAGTTTTTTTTTGTTGAGGATCGGTGAAGTTGATTGGTGTGATTCTTTCATTTCTGTTTCTTTTCGACCGTGCTTGGCTAATTTTGTTTGGCCAACGTCGTGCCTCTTGACTCCTACATAGCAACCCTCCAAGTGGGTGAGTATTATACTATACTAGGTGATCTGAAGGTTATTTTGGGAGGGCAATCAACACGCTATATGTTATGTCACAGTAAATCACATTAGTGATTCAACCGGGAGGTGTCTACCAGAATGTTCTTTTGCCTCACAGACTCATTAGTGGTTCAGGCCCGTTGAGCGTAGTGAGACGGTGTCTCTACTACCAACAGGTTGAAGGACCCTAATTCGACTATCCCAGTTCGTTACCCCAGGTGACGGGTCCTATTTACGGTCACAAAACACCTCTCTTGGAAGGTAGGTACAATATGCCTTACATGGAGTGTTTGAGGTGTTTTGTTTGGGTGTCACAAAAAACATCTCTCTGTTGTTAAACACCCGGAAACACCCCTCAAGGTTGGGCTATGTCCCTGTGCTCTACGCGAATCATCCGTTCGACCTCGCTTTCCGGGCGAACGATGTGGCGGCGCTGAATGTGGCGTGGCAATTCTTCGTGAATGGCCTGGACTACAGCCTCTTGGCTCGAAAACAGCCTAATTAGGGCCTGAAGGAACTGTTTTGGGTGTTTTTTTTTCACAGCCTTCAGTGAGTGTGGGAGATTCTGCTCATGGGGAGTTCGCTCAACAGCTTCTAGGGGAACTGAGGACAGTGCTCAACAGCTTCGGTGGTTTTTCAGCACCCCTCCGACGGTCCGTGCGAGGATCTTCGAGGTAAGTATGTTTGGATAGACCCGCTGAAGTCCAAAGACTATATGTTGACCGGCTGAAGTGTTCAGGAAGTCCCTTTCAGGTCCCTAAAGACCATTCCTTTTATAGTCTTTGACTCCCAGGGTAGACAAACAAAGAAGAAGATGAACAATTGAGAGTCCCTCGAGCTGTGTCTATGTTGGGGAGCTTTCAAGCAAGTCTGGTCTCGACAGTGGTTGGTCCTGGAGGTTGTGGATGACCCCTAAAGAACATGGAGTGCACTTGGACAGGATGGTAGCAACCGCGCACAAAACAAACAACACATGATGAGAGCATAGATGGAACAGCTCCCCTGGCAGATAGAACCTTTTCCCGGCAGATAGAACGTCTAGTCACGTCTTCTTCAGACGAGATCTCGTGGGTCTGGGGTCTTCTTTTTGAGTTATAACCCTTGTGCTGCACAGATGCAGCTCGCTGGGTCCGGTTACATCGGATGCAGCTCGCTGTCTCCCTCCTCAGCTGTCTCGAGCTGATATGACGGGAGTCGTGACGGGAGTCGTTTTGGTCGTTTGCGGCCAGGCTTTCTGTCTCGGCCGCTGCACCCCTTCTTCGGGGTCTACTTCACTCTATCTCCCACGGATGCTGGGATGAACATCCACCGGCGGATACGGAGGATTTGTTTTTCGCTCTCATTCAATAGAATGAAGAGGTCCGCAGAAAAGACATACAAATCGTTGATTTCAGGTTTATGAATTGCTACAGTTTGCCCCGATACATGCCAAAGGGAAGATGAAGCACACAGTAGTTCTTGGGTTTCCCATGGTTTCCAAGTAGAACATCGATTCACATACTTTGAACTCTGGTTCAGAGAAGATGGCTGGATATGGCTGGTGCTTTTTGGATCTTATTGGTTGGCTGGTTGTTCAGATTCCATATGTTATAGCTATATCGGCTATAGCTGCTACTTTTGTCAGCCCTGTTGACAGTGTGGTTGCAGGCAGGGTGGATGTGGGACTGATTGATGCAGCTTTGTGACTGGAAGATTCAACAGATTCAAACAGATGCTTGTGGATTTCTCATGTAAGTGGCCGTACGGCCGTAACGTTTCGGTCGGTCAACCGAGTACTTCTTATGTTGACAGGTTTCGATTCAGGGCCGCGACGCGACATCGGCGCAGCTTCCCAGCACCGAGTCTTCGCCCTAGGAGCACTTCCGCTTGGTAGACGACTGGCTAAAGTGCTGGACGCCTCCCAGCCACAGAAGCTAAGCCTAAGCGCACCGCTTTTCCCGGGAAGGACGGGGGGGAAAGAGGCGGGGTTGGTGACCCCAGGTTAGCGTTTCTTACACAGAGCACTCATGTTCCATACTGCGGACGGAACACTCCCAGAGGCACGTAGAGCGCACAAGGACCAGACTTGATGGGACCCACTTGCGGACCATGCGACCTGCACATGCTTCTCCCCATGAAGCCTAGGTATCTCAATGGTTTAGACTCATCCGCTGCATGTGGTCCTTGGGGAAGAGGAAACTTGGACAATCCCTCGGGCAGTCATTCGAATGCTTATGAACCAAACAAGCTGGATAGCGGTCATGTTAAATGTTATGAACGACGTCGAATGCCTCGAGGCCGTGTGCTGGACCTGGGGACCGGTTGTGGCGCCCTTTGGATCCGCAGGACAGGTCCGTGGGCGATAGTTCCGTGGAGAGGATGGCATCGGGACTGGTGCACTCATCGGCTGAACCCATGGATCTTGTGTGGTTTTGGTGTGCAGTGTTTTGTGCGTTCTGTGATTTTTGGTGTGTTCTTTGCACTCTTCGCGGTCTTCAATCTACTGGTCTTCAATCTGCACTGGACAGATTCTGAATTCTTTGCGTCTCTGCACTTCACGTCTCGGACGAATGGACCGGTCAGACTGGCCAACCCAAAGGGAGAAGCGGCACCGGAGCACTGACCTCATGCTGGTGTGTCGCAGGTCATGCCATTTGTTACTCCCTGACATTTGAGGTCCTTAGTCCTTTAAACAGCATAAGCCATGGGTTTGAGTGCAAGCACATCGTGTCTAGTCTGTGTGTACTAAAGTCTGTTCTACCTTTAAATATGTGTTGTTCTTTCTGGTTTATGTATGGGCTGCAGAACTGTGCCAAAACCCCTTTTTGGTAGACTGAGAGCCGTAGTCTAAATTTTAAAGTTTACAGGATGTGTAGAAGTCGATCGATCTTGGGGTTGGTTCCTGAACTCTTCTGCAACCAATCTCGCATCCCTACGCATCTACTGCCGCTGCGAGACTGCGCACGGTCAATCTGGAACCCACCGGGACCGGCCTTTGTCCGCCGTTGGGCGAAAGGAAGCGCATCGAACACCGTGGCCACTGAGGTCATTAGCTTCATGCTGCGCAGCTCGGCACTTCATGTCTGGCTCGGGTTGGACATGTGCAGACATAGGAGTCACAGGATCTGAAGAAATTTTGGCAGGACAGATGTGTTTCAGATCCTTTCCATTGCATTGAATTCGGTCCGTGCACGGGAAGGGAAGCTTGTGTGCAAAGTGTTTTGAACAACCAATATTTAATGATTGCTCCTTTAGCAGGGAAGGCTGCTTATGAACCTGCAGAGTGTTGTTGGTATGAACGGTTGGCCTTCCGATCATAATCTACTATAGAATATGCCAGGCATGAGCCCAACTGATTTCAACCGCAAAATGACATCCCGAGTTTGACTCGGAACATCAATTTTTCACCATGAAGGTCATCCCAATGATGCATCCTCATGATGCATCTGAGAGACCTTTTCCGTCGATGACTCGCCATACATACCACTACTGTAGCCATTCCCTGCCACATCATGGATCCATCCCCAGCTCCACCCATCCTCATCTCACTTGTCTTGGCTCCACCCAAGGCCAGCACTTCAGCCGTGAAGAGGTCTCCATCGTGGCCTCGGATCGCTGTCCCAACGCTTGCTTCTCCGTGTCCGCTGAGCTGTGGCGTCAGGCGCGGAGCGATGAGAGCTCCGGCGACCTTGGAATCCAGGCGCGCGGTGACGGGAGGATGAGAGGACAGAGAAGAGACACGACGCGGTGCTGTCGCAAACTTGGTTGGATTTCAGAAAGTCAGGTGTTGCCATGAGACTCTTGGAAGAGTCGACGGACGTTCCCCCTTCAATTTTCCCAGGGTCTAGCCTGACGAACCATTCCCAGGGTCTAGTTCACCAGATAGTTCATAGCATTAGCCTGGATAGTGAGACCTCGTGAGACTCGTGGGGGGGCTGTCGGTCGGGTCCTTGAGACCTCGTGTGATCTGCGGATCTGCGGATCTGCACCACTTCAGGGAACACCTAAGGTGACTTGGGGGGTGACTTGGGGGTGGTTTGGGGTGGCTATATATCTTTGTGGTTCTCCTCAAGGGGCCACTTTCTTCTCTCTTTTTGCCGCTTCCAGGTGAAGCACAGTGAGCTCTTTGAGGAGCTTGAAGAGGAGGCAGATGGAAAGACGGGGAAGTCAGAAACAAAACACCACAAAGATCCGCCAAGGAAGATCGCGGAGATCTATACTCGGCTTTTGTAAACGCTTGAGTGTATCTGGATTGTTGTCCTTGTTCGTGCCATGTCAATTTCTGCCAAGTTGCGGAATCCCGGAATCAGTTTCGCTGTGTTTCGCTTGCCCCTTGGAGGGTCCCTTTGACCTCATCATCTTCAACCCTCCTTGGGTCCCTCGTGCACTTGACCACGATGCTGCAGAGAACGACGTGGTCTTCGGCAACGACTACCCGCCCAAGCTCTTCGAGAAGCTCTTCGAGGAAGTCCCCAAGGCGCTGGAAGCGATCGGAAGTCGGAACCAGTGACGTTCCTGTTTGTCTGAACCACGCGCGTGCGAAGTGGTTCAGACAGACATGTGGGCTGTATCGTCCTGTGTTTTCCATCGGGAGGAAGAAGGAAAATAGACCGTCGACCAGTCCACCCAACACTACACACATCTACACACCATGATGTTTTTTCATGCATTTTGTGACTCTTTCAGATTAAGGTGAGACTCTGAGAATCTCTGAGACCTGTTTTGCAAGGCATGGATTCCATTCTTGTCAGATGAGTCACCTCTGAACATAGGCCGCTCAGCAGGCCGCTCGCATCCGCTCACCACTGATCCACAGAACCCCCCAGTTTTACGTTGCTAACAGGTCGTGTGTCCGTCCGCCAGACCAGGACATCCTTTCCACTCAGATCACTCGTTGTGCTTCCAAGATCTCGTTTTCGCCCCCGAAACGGAGCTTCCGACGCCCGACGCAGCTTCTAGAGACACGCTGAGACCGACCGACGATGACCGACGCGCAAAAGGTGCTTCAGCCTTCAGGGCACTTGCTGGTGCTCTTCTCCAACTACGCGCTCTGTCGGAAGCTCGTGGAGGTCTCGCCGATGGAGCTGGGCACCCGACGCTGGGAGCGTGGAGGGCGGCGGCTGTGCGGGGTGTGAAGAAGGGAAAATGGAGGGCAGCTGTGCGGTGAGCACCGGCGTTCGAGAACTACACGACCCGCCGGCCGACATCATGGGTCTCTGGCAAGCTAAGTGGATCTAAAGTGGGCTCGTCCGCCCGTCCGCGGCGCATGGTAGCAGATGAGTTCAGCTCAGGAACACTCGACCTCCAAGGAGTTCAGCGGCGCCCGGTGGAGGAGCAGAAGCGAAGCCGTTTTCGACAGACACGGCGAGAGGCTTGGACAGAGATCGATCCGTGGTGATTTCGGGGCTCATTGGAGCTAAAAAGGGGTT